TTGCTGATAAATTCAATGATGGCTATATTTCTGCAATTAAAGGGTTAGTAATCTCTTATCGGGTATTTAACCCGATCGCTCAATCTACAAGTTATCCTCTGATGAAGTGAGACGTATCTCACGAAAAGCGTAAGAAGTTACCAAATGGTATTGGAACGCACGAAACACAGTAAGGTGACACGCACGCGGCTCCTGTCAGCATTTCTCCATCACCGGCCGGACTGAGGGACCCAAACCACGCTGTCACCAATGAACTCAGTAGTATTCTAATTACCACCTGGCGCAGATAGTGAGTGATTTTCACCAAACTACTTTTTTAAAATTATATTTATTGAATAAAATGTTTTCTTTGATGGAGTAAACATTATGGATTTTTTTTTTAGTGTACAATTTTCCAAGCTAATTTATTATCTAAAGGAGACCATCATTGGTTTTTTGTACTATATCATACTTGCTAATTTAGCAGATATACCCCAGCCAATCCAGTAACTGGTGTCCACTGCTATCAGCTTAATTTGAACCACAGATATAGAACTGTATTGAACAGAGACTATATTAGCTGCTATAATTGTGGACTTATTTGTAGCTTTTTTACAATTCAATGAATTTTTATATACAGTTATTATTGTATACTATTGCAACATTGTGGACTTTAATTCCCGGTATTAAACTCTAAGGGAAATACTGATATTTGTTTATCAGACCTCATACAAGCTGTTAAAGAGGTAACCATTTCTGTATATTTTGTTCTATAACACTATCTGATATTCCTATATTACTCCTGGGCATCTAGTTAGATTTTATCTAACATTTTATTTTCAGAGACAGAAGACGTATTTGTAATATTTAGGGATCGACCGATTATCAGTTTTACCGATATTATCGGCCGATATTCGGTATTTTCGGCAATATCGGTATCGGCCAATTCAGATACCGATATTGCCGATAATATATAACAGGACCGCCAGGCTCATTACAAGCCCGGCGGTCCTGAGGGGGCCCGCAGGTAGCGCTTACTTACCTCCCAGCAGCTACTTCAGCTCCCCAGTGTAAGTCTCGCGAAACCCGCGGCCGTCAGAGCATTGCCACGGGTTACCATGGCAATGCTCCGCGCGGCACACTGGCCGCAAGACTTACACTGGGGAGCTGGAGAAGCTGCTGGGAGGTAAGTAAGCGCTACCTGCGGGCACCACCACAGCTCAGCCAATGCCACTGGACCACCAGGGACTGCTATATCCCCCCTCCCTGGCCAGGAAACAAGCAGGGAGGGGGGGGGGGACAACAAAAATAAATAAAAATAATTAAATATATTAAAAAAAAATGTTTAATAAAAAAAATGCCCCCTCACACACACACTCCATTATATACACATACACTACACAAACACACTGTGTATATAATGCAGTGTGTTTGTATAGTGTGTGTATGTAATGCACACTACACAAACACACTGCATTATATACACACACTATACAAACACACTGCATTTTATACACACACTACACAAACACACTGCATTATATAAACACACTACACAAACACACTGTATTATATACACACACTATACAAACACACTGCATTATATTTACTCACTATACAAACACACTGCATTATATAAACACACTACAAAAACACACTGCATTATATAAACACACTACACAAACGCACTACATTATATACACAGTGTGTTTGTGTAGTGTATTTATATAATGCAGTGAGTGTGTGTTAGTATAGTGTGTGTATATAATGCAGTGTGTTTATATAATGCACACTACACAAACACACTTCATTATATACACACACTGCATTATATAAACACACTTCATTCACTATACACACACTACACAAATACAGACACACACTCTGTATTCATTATATACACACACTACACAAACACACACACTTTGCATTTAGTATGTACAGCATTCACTTTACACACACACTGCATTCACTTTACGCACACTACCCACACACTACACAAACACTCTGCTTTCATTATATACACACTACACTAATACACACTTCATCCACTGCACACACTAGACAAATACACACTGCATCCACTACATAAACACACACTGCATCCACTACACACAACACAAACACACACTGCATCAACTACACACACACTACACAAACACACACTGCATCCACTACACACACTACACAAACACACACAGCTCCCCTGTCTAAACACACTGCATCCACTACATGTGGCATGTATATTTTGTGCATTTACCTTCAGAAATAGTTTTTATTTTCCAAAATGGTGCAATGTACAGAATATCGGCCTGAAAGTTCACAGAATATCGGTATCGGTATTGGCTCTAAAAAATCAATATCGGTCGATCCCTAGTAATATTCTTAAGTGAGCAAAGCAGGAAGGGGAATTGGATGTACTGGTCCATAAGGACTTGCAATGAGGTTTCAGAGGTAAAGGAAGTTTTTGTATTTTTGCCAATGATATAAGGTAGGTTGCTTCCACACTGTCATTCTCTGAAGTTCTGCCTGTGTGAACACTCAGAACGACAGGCGGATGCATATTAGGGACTTTAACTTGTGGCTTTATGAATGGTGTCGGAAGCAAGGATTTGACTTCATTTTTTGATGGTAGCTCTGTTTCGAATGGAAATAAACTGTACAAAAAGATGGTTTGCATCTTTCTCAAAAGGGAAAAATGTTCTCAGTGAGCAGTTCAGAGGTTTTGCTAGAATGTATTTAAACTAAGAGGGGGGCAAAAGGGTGATACAACATCCATCCAATTTCCCCCCAAAACAAGGACAGAAGGTGCCTGTAGCAAGTGTGTTAAAAAATGATAAGCTTAGAGTCATCTCTACAAATGCTCGCAGTTTAGGGAATAAGATCCATGAACGTGTTTCAATAATGGCAACTGATAATGTAGATTTAGTCGCTGTTACTGAGACATGGTATAATGAGAAAAATGACTGGGACATAGCAATACCAGGGTACTCTTTATATAGAAAAGATAGGGAAGGGGGAGGGATGGCCCTGTATGTGAAGGATAGCATAAAATCTAGCCTAATAAAAGTTAGTGAGGCGAACATAGAGTCAGTTTGGGTTACGTTAGAATTTGGTAATCACACAGTAACTAGTGTAGGTGTAATTTATAGGCCCGCAGGACAAATAGAAGAGTTAGATAATCTACTAGTTGAGGAAATAGCTAAAATGACAATGAAGGGGGAAGTTATAGAAACATAGAAACATAGAAACATAGAATGTGACGGCAGATAAGAACCATTTGGCCCATCTAGTCCGCCCAATTTTCTAAATACTTTCATTAGTCCTTGGCCTTATCTTATAGTTAGGATAGCCTTATGCCTATCCCACGCATGCTTAAACTCCTTTACTGTGTTAACCTCTACCACTTCAGCTGGAAGGCTATTCCATGCATCCACTACCCTCTCAGTAAAGTAATACTTCCTGATATTATTTTTAAACCTTTGTCCCTCTAATTTAAGACTATGTCCTCTTGTTGTGGTAGTTTTTCTTCTTTTAAATATAGTTTCCTCCTTTACTGTGTTGATTCCCTTTATATATTTAAATGTTTCTATCATATCCCCCCTGTCTCGTCTTTCCTCCAAGCTATACATGTTAAGATCCTTTAACCTTTCCTGGTAAGTTTTATCCCGCAATCCATGAACCAGTTTAGTAGCCCTTCTCTGAACCCTCTCTAAGGTATCAATATCCTTCTGAAGATACGGTCTCCAGTACTGTGTACAATACTCCAAGTGAGGTCTCACCAGTATTCTGTACAATGGCATGAGCACTTCCCTCTTTCTACTGCTAATACCTCTCCCTATACAACCAAGCATTCTGCTAGCATTTCCTGCTGCTCTATTACATTGTCTGCCTACCTTTAAGTCATCAGAAATAATCACCCCTAAATCCCTTTCCTCATATGTTGAATTTAGGACTCTATCAAATATTCTGTACTCTGCCCTTGGGTTTTTACGTCCAAGATGCATTATCTTGCACTTATCCACATTAAATGTCAGTTGCCACAATTCTGACCATTTTTCTAGTTTACCTAAATCATTTGCCATTTGGCTTATCCCTCCTGCAACTTTAACCCTGTTACATATCTTAGTATCATCAGCAAAAAGACATACCTTACCATCAAGACCTTCTGCAATATCACTAATAAAAATATTAAAGAGAATGGGTCCAAGTACAGATCCCTGAGGTACCCCACTGGTGACAAGTCCAAGCTTCGAATATATTCCATTAACTACAACCCTCTGTTGCCTGTCACTCAGCCACTGCCTTACCCATTCAACAATATTGGAATCCAAACTTAAAGATTGCAGTTTATTGATAAGCCTTCTATGTGCAACAGTGTCAAAAGCCTTACTGAAATCTAGGTAAGCAATGTCTACTGCACCACCCTGATCTATAATTTTAGTTACCCAATCAAAAAAATCAATAAGATTAGTTTGGCATGATCTCCCTGAAGTAAATCCATGTTGTCTCTGATCTTGAAATCCATGTGTTTTTAGATGTTTAACAATCCTATCCATCATGGGTGACTTTAATCTTCCTGATGTGAACTGGAAAACCAAATTAGCTACTTGTGCCAGGAGCACACATATCCTAAACTCCCTACTGGGATTGTCTCTAAAACAAGTCGTTGAGGAGCCAACTCGTAATGAGGACATACTAGATTTAGTGTTAACAAATGGAGATTTGGTATCAAATATTACTATAGGTGAAAGAAGTTTAGGATCCAGGGATCATCAGTCAGTGTGGTTTAATAGAAGAACAGTGGCTGAGTCACACCACACAAAAACAAAAGTTTTAGACTTTAGAAAAACAGACTTTTAAAAAATTAGAATATGTGCAAAGAAGTCGTTATCAGACTAGAGCAGTTTAACCCCTTAAGGACCAAACTTCTGGAATAAAAGGGAATCATGACATGTCAGACATGTCATGTGTCCTTAAGGGGTTAAATGGAGTCTGTGACGAAAACACCTTCATCACTGGTGTTTGGAGGGGCCTGTTTGCCAGCCTCTTGCTGCAGGACTATGGCCCATATGTTAAAATGGGTCGTAGGGCTATGGAAAGGCTTTTTTGTACCTTTCCCCTCATATGGTTCGATATTTGGGGTTGCCGATCAAACTGTCCAACAACCGGACCACCCACAAGTGTAGCGTGTCCCTCATTTACCTCCCAAGAGCTGTGGTTAACCGTAGCTAATTGATGAATGGCTGGGAGATCGGCGTTCGTATGAACGAACACGTGGCGGCGGCTATTTTGTTTAGCCAAATGCACTCAGCTGTGTTTTGTCGTCGAACGCCTGGACACGCAAAAGCATGAACACCGCTGGGACTTCCACCTTCCGAGCGTTCGGCTAAATTCACATTAACGGAGCACTATTTCTGGAAAACAAACTAACAAACGAGACGCTTGCAATGAAGTACTGTGCAAACGGATCTGTTCTGTATACATTAAGGAAAGGAGAAGATAGACCAGCCACACAGCCTAAATCTGTGGAACTATTGTGAGCGGTCAAATGTGACTTCCATAGAATTTGGGAACCCCTGCTCTGATCTGGGTTATTTTTGAAAATGTGGTTCACCCAGATCAGAGCTATCCAGGAATGTATAATTTGTGGGGATATGTTTGTGTTTTGGGGTGTTTCTGGACTTTGGGTAAAAATTTATATTTTCTGCCTATGGATAATAAGGTTATTCCATTAGCTATAGCTATCTTAATTATATCACAGGCAGAGGGGAGGGATTGCTGACTGTATGTGGGAGTGTTGCTGTACTAATTATTGTTCCTATTGGTTTGTGTCCCTTTTGTCCATCAGGTCCAGGGGGTGTGCCTGAAAATATGTATAAAAGAAATGCCCTTACACTCAATAAACCAGACCTACTTACCCTTCATGAAGGCTTGGCTCATGTTTGGGGGATTGGAGAACCACACTCTGAGGATTGCTATAATCACTATACTCCCCAGAGTATAATCACTAGCTCTTGTAAGAGCTTTTCTTGTTCCTGTTCCTGCTCTCTGGATTTAAGGAGAGGTTCACCTACTGGAAGCTGGAGCCCGGTCTTGGGTCCAGGGTGAGTGGAGGACGACGAAACCCCAACCAAGGTTTGCGGTGGTTGTGGTGTCGAGTGTGTTGCTGATGGTCCTTGGCGAGCACTAGGAGCATCGTTTGACGCCAGTCTGGGTGGCAGGCGTTCCGTCAGAGTCCAAGAGAAATGGGATTATTTAAAGGTTGCACTGCTGAAAGCAACAGAAAATTGCATTAGGCTTGTCAGTAAAAGCAAAATAAATTAAGAAATCACCGTGGTACTCAGCAGATGTGGCCAAAATAGTAAACGAAAAGTTAGCATTTAGTAATTATAAAATAACCCAGAGTGAGGAAGATAGACAGATCTTTAAGATTAGACAGAGGTTAAGCAAGTTATAAGAGCGTTCAAATCACACACAAAAGAGAAAA